GCCTCCGTTCCGACCTCGCGCGTCGCTCCGAATCGCCGAAATCACCGCTTCCCTCGCTCATTCGTTGAACGAACAACTCCTCTCGCCGGCCTCTCTCCGGCCCCGAGTCCTCTCGAATCACCGCCGCGCCGCGCCGTGGCAAATTATTTACCCGTTTTAATTTCGGCCATTACCTTCAAATTATCCCGGCCGCCGACCACGAGTAGCCTAATTTTTATCGTCGACGGGGACGGGGAGAAAATAATTTCGATCCCGCGATACCTCTCGGACTCGTAAACCAGTGGAGGACGCGCGAGCCAAATCGGACCTGGCCGGGACACACTCGTCGCGGGCACGACCGTGGCGAGGACGACCGAGGGCCGACGAACCGTCGATTAGAAACCTCGAATTATCCCGAACGATTCGTAATTATCAGGAAATAACTCAATAAAGGCTCGCACCGGGATTACCTACGTGGCGCGGGCCATCGATAAAATATCAATTTCGGTAATAGCCGGTGGGACGGAGCAGAACCGTGCGAGCTGCGAGCCGCGGGGACGCGAAGGGGGACCAGCGCGAGAGAACGAAAGAGGAGAAGATGATTTTGACGCCTCTCTTTCGCGGCGGCCTTGCGACGTAATTACGAGGCTCGCGGAACACGGCGGTGGGTCCAGCTGGGCCCTTCGGCCTGCTTCTCTCTCTCTCTCTCTCTCTCTCTCCCCCTCTCTCTCTCTCTGCTCCCCTCTCACCCTCTCGCTCTCAAGATTCCCTCTTTCTCGAACATCTATCCTCGATCCCTCCCCGAGTCCCTCCACCTTTCTCCAGCACCCTCGGATCTATCCGATCCGGTCGTCGCGACGCGTCAGCCCCTCGCGGGAGGGAGGAAGCGATCGCGCGATTTCTGCTCCGCTAGGAATCGGATCGGATCGGATCGGATCGTTCGTGCGTTCTTCCGAGTGAGAACAAAGAGAGAGGCACGGATACCTTCGCAGTCAACGATCCGAGAGCGCGGTGTATGCTAATTTACCAGGAATCCCTGTTCCTCTGTTTCTTCTTCCTCCGTTGCTGTTGTTACCCGCTGCTGTTGCAGTTGTCTCTCCTTCTTGTTCGTCCAGCATCGGACAGAAGAATGAGTCGAGTCCCCGGGTGGCCAGGTGGTCCTCTCCTTGCGCGTACACACCCGAGCGCTCTCGACTTTTCCCCTCGCCCCGCCTTCGCTCTCCCGATGATCCCAGCGTCTCGTCGCATCGCGTCGCGTCTCGTCGCGTCCCGTCGAATCCGCCGTGTCCCGGTACACGCAACCTTTCGCTCCGCGGCTCTGCCCGGAGAAAGGTTTTCCAGCGAAGGGACCTCCCTCCACGCGCCGATTCAATCGTCGCGACACCGATCTCGCTCGATCCCCCGAAGCTACGATCCCGAGCGTGAACGGGAGGTCTCGATTACGCGGGCAAACGTTCCCGCAAAAAATCCAGCAATCTCGAGCGACCGCGATCCAGAGCCGAGAGGGACCGACCGACCGACCTCTCGACGCGAGGACGGACTCCGCTCGCCACAAGTTATTTCCAATATCGTAAAACCATTAATTACCGGGTGGGACCGGTGTCCGCGTACGTCTTCCCCACGTCGGGCCCGCCGCGCGACTACTTAGGTGGCCGCCTCTCTGGCCGGATGATGAATTTCGGCGTTTTTGCGCGACATTAATAATAACGTCGCTCGGGCCCGGCCCTCTCTCGGGCCCCGCTCCGGTGAAAGCGTCTCTTTCCACGACGCGAAAAGGGAGCCGGCTCCACACCGTTTTCCTCGTAACAGCGTACTCTTTTCTCTCTCTCTCGTTCGCTTCGGAGCGGAATAGCGTGCCGGTCGGGGGCGGAAAGGCCCCGCCGGAACGAGCGCATCGCGCGAATTCCTCGCGCAGACGTCGAAGCCTCGACCGAAGGGGAAGGAAAAGGGGCAAGAGATAAACCTAGATAGGATAGGAATCTGGTTGTCGATGAACGCCGAGGAACACGGTGTACGGAGAATCGCGATCTCGTGCTTTCGTTCCCACAGTCGACGGGGACGTGGATTCCGGAGGAGATTCCCTTTGCTCGTTCCGCGGAAGACGGTCTCGGGGCTCGGCGAGAGGGCCCCGGGGCATGGAGGGGGGGAACGGACGGCCCAAAGAAGAGAGAGGAGAGAGAGAGGGAGAGAGAGAGAGGCAGAAAGAGAGAGAGAAAGAGAGAGCAGAAGCGGGAGCGCGAGCGCGACCACGCGCAAATTCGGCTACCAAAAGGTGAGAGAGAAGGAGAATCGGCGAAGAGCCCTGTAACATGCCAAAACACCGATAATTCGACCGTGTGGTCTCGAACGTCAGCCGATATTCTTTCCCACGGATGGCCCTCGGAAAGGACGACGAGATCCAGGACCCGCCAAAAGGGATTCCTGCCATTCCGGGAGGGTATGCCCCGGCGAAGACGTCCACGACCCACCTTCCTCCCAATCGCAAAAACGATAAATTAGTTGATTTACTCGCCCGTTTTTTATCGGGAAATAATTCCTGGCGAGGACGAGGCCTCTCGACCGTGCAAGATTAGCGCAACAGGAAGCACGCCGGTCTTCTTCTCCCACCCCTGCCGGAGAGCCAGAGCCCCTCTTTCTCTCCCGTCTTCCACTCCTTTTTACTCTCCCCCGGCTTCTTTCGGGGGCCCGCTCCTCCGTTCCCTAATCGTTTACTTTAACCTTTCTCCCCGGTTTTTATCGATTCGCCTCGCTTTCTTTCGATAGGTGGGACACGGTCCGATCGGTTCTCGATCGCCGGACGACTTCTTTCCCCGAGAGAGTTCATGGGGGTTAGTCGCGTAATCGGGGAACGGATATCGAATCCGGTCGCGGACGGCACACGACTCGGGGCCCGATCACACGCGCCCGGCAATCCCCGAGCGTGGTGAGGCCCCTGGTCTCTCGGGGGCCCCTCGATTGTTAACCTCGTGGACAGAATTTCGTATTCGTTCGGCATAATGACCGAGAGCCCGTCGAAGAAGACGGGTCTCCTCTCGCGAGACCGTGAGAGAACGACCGGTCCGCGGCCGCGCCGCTTTTGCACGTCGGGGCCTGCTTTTTCGTGTGGCCGTCGCGCCGATCCTCGCCTTAAACGCGCGCGATAAACGTATTCCCGTGTGCCAGCGGCGTCCCTCTTGCACCGGTCCGCCGTCGTCCCCGTGGAAACGAGGGGCCGTATCGCGATTTCGCTCGGCCCGCTTCGCGTGGTGCCCCCTCCCCTCTCCTCCTCCTCCCCCCGAGAAGAAATTTGTTGGACCGGAGCGACGGGAACGATCGCGCGACGGCCGAGATTTTCATCCGGCCCAACAGAAATTGGCACGCGCTGGTACGAAAGGTCGGGCCCGGAGGCGGCGAGCGACAGACCCGAGAGCCTCCCTCCCCCGGGGAGATCCTCGCGAGCATTCCGGAGCGTGGAACGAGCTGCACGCGTGACGGCATGCGTAATAATAGTAAAACCGAATGAATTCGGCGCGCGGGGGCCCTGAAAGCGAGAGCAGGGTAAAAAGCCGAGGGAGGTGGCCGCGAGAGCTCGGGGCTCGATCCGTGGCCGGTGCCGGAGCCGGAGCCGGAGCAGCAGCCGGTGTCGGAGAGCGACCGTGATGGAGACGAGGGGGTGGTCGGCCGAGATCAAAGGGGCCGCCGTGAGAAGTGGCCCGGCTGCCCAAGATTCTTGTCTGCCGAGACACGCTGGAAGTCCCTCGCGCACCAAGAATTTGTTTTAGTATCGCGACGGACCTACTACCCTGCTTTACGGTGGCACCCGATTCCTTCGAGAGCGCGCACTCGAGGCCGATTCGGAATCGATCGGACGTCGATCGAGCCGCGCCCGGGCCTCGCCTCGAGCGCCGTGCGAGTGGAAATACCGATCGTTAGAACGGGAAGGGAGGAGGAGGAGACCGAGGACGAGGACGAGGACGCGCAGGGAGCAGAAAGAAAGCGACGACGGTGCCGAGGGGAAAAAAAGGAGCAAAGAGAAACCGGGGGCAGGGGTGGCGGGAGTGTCGGAACCATTAGCGCGGATGCCTGTTCGTATGCGGTCAGAATCCTTTTATCCCGTACAGAGATTCCTGCGGGATTCCTTCGTTCGTTATCATCGCGTGCAGCAGCGCGCGGCCAACGAGAAACGAAACAAGGTAGAAACGTAGGAGGATGGAACACGATGGGAAACGGCCGCGGGGGAGGAAGGCCGCGCGCGGGGAGAGAGAGAGGAGCTCTCGAGATGCGGCACACGGACGGGGCACAAGGGGGGAGAACGAGAGAGGCTGCCCCGCCACGGAGGGAGCAAGAGGAGAGAGTCGAACCAGTCTTCTTCGGGGCACGGGCCTCCCACGATATTCGCCCGGTCGAGGAGTTATGAAGTCGTCCGAGTCCGGAGAACCAGTCGACTATATTTCGCGCGGGGAGAGGGATCGCTGTCTCCGCGGAAAATCCGCAGAGGGGTTCGTTCGGCCCGCCGGTTATAAACACACACAAACACGCTTCTATCCAACTTTCAACTCGAATGCACCTTTATTCGTTTCTCCAATTTCTCCATCTTACAACGTCTTTCCGTCCCGTATAAATTACAAAAAAAGAACACGATATCGGGAGTCGACTCGACTCGCCTCGCTTCGCCTCGCCTCGGCTCGGCTCGGCTCGTCTCGTCTTGTTGTGCGCTACTTGATCACCGTTTTCTCGGAGGGAAAAATGACGAGGCCTGAACGGGAGGTCTAAAACGCTGGTCTTAACCAGGGGAAGTCTGGGATACAGTCGGCTCCGGGTAGAACAGGGCTGGGAGACGTACAAAAATAATTTATCCGCTCTCTAGCGCGCAGAGCGTCGCGGCTCTTCGTCTCGGGAACGTCGATTATGTACAAAACGAGGCCTTCTAGCGCGATTGTTTCACGAACGCGATCCTAAAAAATATACATATATATTTTTACATTCATATATTTGCGTTTGTATTTATTTATAATTTCGTATTTATATATACATATATACATATATATATATATACGTATATATAAATAAGATGTATATATATATATTTATTTATTTATTTATTTAGCCGTACTCTATACGTATATACAAGCACGCGATCCTGAGGACCGGAATAAATAACGAGTCTAGTACGCCTCGCGCGCATTCACGTGCAAAAGGGCGTGTGGCACGAGTCCGAAGATCTCGGGATTTCGAAGACCGGAGACATAAAACGTTGGCGTCTCCTCTGATCCGATCGGATCCAGGGAACTCCCGACGCTCCCCGCCGCTTCGATTCTTCAGTACGCGTCCATGGAACGTCGTAATAAATACACGAGAGAACGTCGTCGTCGTCGTCGTAGTGGTTTCCGTCGATCTGTTTGCCGATCAGCAAAAATTACGCGTAATACTGGGAGAGGAGAGCCTCCCCTGTCGGTCGGAAGCTCCGCAGAGTTTCGCGGTAGGATCACCTGGACCACCTTGTCTCGGACAATTGGGCGCGAGGGTTGTTTGTGCGATGGAGACTACGAGGACATCCTTCGCCGGGAAGGATGCAGTCTCTCCGTGGAGCAGGGATAAAGAGGACGACGGGGGACAGGGGGAGGAAGGCGGGGCTCTCGGTGTGGGCGAGCTCTAGTGGCACGTGTGTATCGTCTTCTTGATTCTGCAGAGCTGGCACTTGACCTCGCAACACCAGTGGAAGGTGCAGGCGCACCTCTCGACGACCGTCACCTCCTGGGTCTTGTAGCCTCTGCCGCAGCACATCAGGTCGCAGCCGTCCACGCCTATGCTGGTGTCGTTGCACTGTCTGCCGTGGGTGCCGAGGATCCCCATCTTCGGGTTCTTCTCGCAGAACGGCGGCGACGGCTCCAGATAGACGAGGTCCTTGGGCCCGGGCGGCTTGTGCTCCGGATTGTACGGGTTCAGCTGGAAGTTGTACCTGTGCCGGCGGCCCAATCCGTCCCGATGGCCGTGCACCGAGTTGCTGGCCGAGTTGCTGGCTATCGCGTTCCCGTTGCCCCGCACCCGGTCCGCGTTGCTCACCATCACCCTGGACGCGCCGTCGAAGCGGTCCTTCAGGTTGTCGCCGACCACGCGGAAGTTCGGCAGCCTCATCCAGCAGGTCTTGACGGTGCAGGAGCCGGACATGCCGTGGCACTTGCACTCCTGCCTCATCTCCGAGGACACGTGCTGCGGAGGGGAAAACGTAACACCGTCGAGTCTCGCCACCTTTTCCGCTTCGACCGTCGTCCACGAATGGGACGCAAACGTAGATAGACACGCGACTTACCGCTCTGCCGGCTTCGTTGTTGTGCAGATTCATCTTCTCGCGGAGATTACGGCCGCGCTCGCCGGTATCGACGAACTCGCGGGAGAACTTGAAGCCGTAGCCGATGTTGTCCGAGCAGCCGCCCCATTCCCAGTCGCGTGAGCCGGAAGGCGCGCGCGACTGATGGGTGTAGTCGCAGGAACAGGACTGGATGCTGCCCTCGCTGCAGGCCCTGGCGATGCTGTGGGTGACGGCGGCGCTCGTGATCGCGTAGATAAACGCGGTCTCTCTGCAGCCTGCAACAACATCTTTCCCTCTAAATCCTGCGAATCCGGCGGACGCCCTACGCCGCGGCTCGCTACCGGACAAAACTTTCACGGCGGTCGATATCGTGGGAGGCGAGCGAGCGAGCGGTGATCGCAGAGAACGTCTCAATCCTTCGGCGTGGACTACCTGCGAGGGCGCAGGTGTGGAAGGAACCCGCAACGGCGCGAGCAACCGACAAGGAGAAGCGAACGAGAAGAACGAGGAGGAACGGCACGAACGGAGGAGGCAGAGGAGAGAGAGAGGAAGCGCGACCTTAACCCCGAGTGGGCTGACCCGAGAGGCACCTCGACCTTATCTGCATAAGGCGCAGGTGCCTGCCGGCACCTTTGCGACCTGTCGGGAGGCTATCGGAGCCGCGAGGAGGTGGGGCCGTTTCGCAAATTGCCGCGTTTATCGCGCCGCAGATAACGCGCCGGTATCGCCGAGTTTGCCGAGGCTCGTCGAACGGTATCGACGCCTAGAGAACACCGTCGATATCTCTCCGTCGACGGTAAAATGACGGCCCGGCCGGGGAAAACCCTCTCCGGCGTCCGAGAAATCGAGCGAAGCTGGAAATGAGATGTCAAACGGTTCGGTGGTCGAGAAAAAGAAAGAGAAATGATCGACCGCGTCCAATTTCGAAGCGAAGGATTCGTGAAACGTGGATTCGTCACGAGCGTATTCCGCGCGCCGTTGGCAAGCCTCGGTGGCAAGCTCCTGCGTGCGCGCGCTCGCAGGGAGCCTTCACGGCGAGTAGACGCAAGAAAAGCGGAATGCCCGAAGAAGAAAGGAGAAGAAAAGAGAGGTAAAATAAAGAACCGATTTTCCCTAATCCCCGAGTCGTCCGAGGCGAAGACCGGAGGTTCGTGCCACGGTAGCGACGAGACCCTTCTTCAGGCTCCCGAACGGAGGAGCGCTCGCGTCGGGAATATTTCGGGAACCAAGATTTACGCCGTTCCACCCTGTTACGTTTACCTGTTTCCCAGGAACACAAGACTGCTACATCTGGGTTCCAGATACATGTTATTCCTCATCATCCCTCCGCGCTACCCATGACCGAGAGGATTACACGGTCGGTGGGTGGTTTCCTCGCGAAAACCGAGACCGCCCGTGAGATCGACGAAATCCGTTCTCGCGCACCTGGTGCCGTTGCGCGACTCCGAGAGATAACGATCTTTTCTTCGAAGGCTTTACGATCGAGATAAGCGCCGGGACTATCGTCGAAGCGAAAAATCGTTATCGGCCCATAAAACCGTGAAGGACGAGAAGGAGGAGGAGGACGAGGAGGAGGAGGAGGAGGAGGAGGAGGAGGAGAGGTAGAGAAGAGGCAGCGCGGCACGATAATCCCGTGGAGATCGGTTGTTTGCACGCGCCCGGTCTTCGACTTTCGGCGCGCGCGATAAACGGTTTGACGTTCGGTTTATCGTGCAAACAGAGAGCGAGCAAGGTGGAGAGACGGCTGGTCACCGTAGGGCAAACAGCCATCGATGGAAATTCCTAGGCCCGAGAGCAGCCACGGTCTCGCGTACCTGTTCGGACGGCGAGAGACGCTCGCCGTTTCTTTCGTGAGGACGAAGAGAGGAAACGGCTCGCGCTCGAGATAAGGCTTTGAGCTTGGCGATCCGGCGATACCTAGCTCTCGAGAAGAGCGAGAGCGCGACTCGTCAGCTTCGAGATCCGGCCGAGCGACATCGCGACGGCGGACGTTTCTGTCCGCTCTGAAATTCCATGCCGATAAGATCGCCGGAAATTATTGCTACCGCGAGGAGGACCGTTCGCCGGGCCCCGAGCCGAAAGCGCCGAGAAACGAGGGAGAATCGCGACCGAAAGAGAGGCCAGCGAAGCAGCGTGGAAATGAGAGAAGCCGAGAGAGAGAGAGAGAGAGAGAGAGAGAGAGTCGTCGTGCGACCAGCCGCAACATCGATCCACGAAAAACTGCATCGACCAGCTCGTGTCGTTCGAATGCGAGAGCGGGTCTCGTGGTTCGCGCGAGGGGCTAGAGGGGCGCGAAAACGCGACCGCCATATAGGCCAGCCTCTGTGCCGCGGGAACTCGTGCGTTCAGACCGTGGAAGCAAACAAGATGTAAAAATCACGGGGTACCGATGGTCGGAGAGGCCGGCCCATTGGCTCGCGGCTCACGTTTTCGCAAGAAATCGTGGCGTGCCGTCGACACATGTAGCCCATCATAGGCCGCGATTTATGGCGGCGTAACGCCGTCGCAAAAACCACGGACCGGGTCTCCGTATAAGACGCGACCCGCGCCACGCTGCTCCGCTATCGATCCAATTTATTTATTCAATCGCCGATTTACGCGCCTCCGTTGTTAACAACCGAGCGATCCTCCGAACTTTTTGGTAACTTAAACAAAACAAAAAAAAAAAAGAATAGAACAGAACGCTCGTCTTCTCCCGAGCGAATGCGAAATTTCCGCGCGCACCCCGCCGATTATGTTTCCGAGCTTATGGTTCCCGCGGCTCGCGGGTCCGTGAAATCGGCGGAAAACGCGAGCTGCACGGAGGCTCTCTCGCGGGATTCGCAGTTTACCGAGCAATTAGGCTACGGCTCGGGTTCCACGCTCGCGTGGCGCGAGGCGCGCTTCGCAGGCGCCGAGAACCGGGGAAGGAGAGAGAGAGGAGAGGAGAGGAGAGGAGAGGAGAGAAGAGAAGAGAAGAGAAGAGAAGAGCGAGCGAAACCGAGGGTAGAACGCCGATGCGGTAGGTGGCTCTTGGCGGCGAAATGATTACAGGCCGCAAACCTACTCACTACCAGCTATAATATCGAGTACAAACGCCTCCAAAAGTATCCCGGCAACCTCGAAGACTGGACACGCGCGAAACATTCGACTCCTCCTGGCCGTCCTTTATTCGAACGATCTTCCTTCGTGGAATGCCGTCGGTCGGATCTTCCAGATCCAGCGTGATCCAAAGATTGCTCGTAACACGAAAGGAGAGATAGAGAGAGAGAGAGAGAGAGAGAGAGAGAGAGAGAGACGCGTAATCGTGCGCAACCCCGGGCGTAATCCGGAAACGACCGTTTAGGCCGGCGCGCGACAACCAGTCACCGCGATCCCCCTTCTCGATCTCCAAATACAGATGAGTACGCGCGAGCGTTGCGGATCGACGATAGCGATCTGCGTTTCCCCGGCGATCTACTCGCGAGCCTAACCGGGCCCGAGCAGTGCCTCGTTCAGATCTAATCTCGGGGATCGGTTCGATGACAAACGATACGGGGCGCGCAGAGAAGGAGAGAGAGAGAACAAACCGGGGACAAACGAAGAAACCGGTCCCCTCCATTCGACGAGGGAATCGTAACGGGTGAAAGGTCGAGGCCTCGTTCGGCCCGGCCGGACGAAACGATGAATCCGTTTACGACTCAATTTTCACCGGTACGACAAAGACTCTCTCTCTCTCTCTTTCTCTCTCTCTCGAGGGTGTCTCTCGACGTTGTTTGCAAATGCGACACGACGGAGACGCAGGGGGAAGGGGTGCGGGGCTCGGCTAATAAGGCCACCGAAACGGTGACGTCCGCGCATCTGGCGACTATTAGGTGGACGTTTTCACGGTCTGTTCGCCGATCCCCCGTTTTTCGTCGCGTTTACAGGGAAAACTATTAGGTTGTGACGAACGGAGGGGTGGCGCGCGAAGATCAACCCCCCTCGGCGGATGGCGTGACGTCGCGAAAGGGTTGCGCACTCTCCGGCGCGATCTCTCTGCTATTTTGTAACCCGTGCCTCTTTTTTTTCGGTTTTACCAGCGCGATAAGTGGCCATATGGGGACACTGGATGCGATGGGGTGGGAGAGCAACGGGTCGAGCGAAAAAGCTCGGCTTACAATCGCCTCGACGAGATCTAAAAGAGCCGCAGGGGAGCCAGAACTGGTACAAGAAGGTCCATTATCAGGTTGCAAAACATACATCTGGTCGGTGGAGGGCACGTGCCCGGGGTCTTCGGTGCAAGGGCACGCCCCTTTCGACCCCCTCGCGTCCTCCTCGGCGCGGTGGCACCGTGATCCTCGCATCCCCGTGTCCCCTCGTCAACCCTTCGAGAGCCGAGAGAACCGTCGCCCGACGACGCGCCCGGTTTCTCTCGTCTTGGTCGTTCGAAAAATCGCGGTTGCTGCTCCGCGGCGCGGCCGATCCGTGCCTCGCGAAATTATCGCGTACGGCTAACTAACCGTAATCCGGTTACCGGTACTCTAATTATGCGGCCAAAGGGTTAGTTTTCTACGGTGCTTCACCGATCGATCGGCTAACGATATTACCGCGTTGAAACTCGAGCGCGATGGGCCGCAGGTACGAGCCCGCTCGCCGATATCGTCACGATTATCGATCACGTACTGCCGGTGATCGAAAGAGACAACGACCCTCTTTGATGCGTCGCGTCGCGTCGCGTCGTTGTACGCGACGGCACGCTGTCCAGGCATTCGCACGATATCACCGTCGACGGATTTGTCGGATGCAATTTAGGGGATCGCGGGACCATCCTTCTCCTCTCGTCACACCTTTCTCTTATTCTTCCTTCGCGTTCTCCACCTCCGCTCTCCGTCTCCTCCTCCACCATCTTCGCCGTCTCATTCGGCTCTCTCTCTCTCTCTCTCTCTCTCTCTCTCTCTCTCTCTGCTCGTCTCCGTTTCCACCGAAACTCGTCTCCTGTAAATCTCTATCGAGGATACCGGTTGTGTCGGACAATGGCTCGTTTTTTGGCCGCGAAACGAGTCCGCCTCGCGGTCCTTTTATTTCTCCGCGCGTATCGTACGCAGCGTACAGTCGGAATCATTCGGATGGTCGCGACGCGAGAGAAAAAAGGGACATGCAACGATTCCGAGAGCAACGCGCGATCGCAAGAAATCGTACGCTTTCCCCGTTCCGAGTTCCAATTAGCGGTGTGTGTGGCGCGATCGCGTAATTCTACGAACGATGATTGAATTCGATCCGCGCAGCGCCGTGCCGCGCCGCGCCGCGCTAGCCGGCGAAGATCGNCGAACGGAGGGGTGGCGCGCGAAGATCAACCCCCCTCGGCGGATGGCGTGACGTCGCGAAAGGGTTGCGCACTCTCCGGCGCGATCTCTCTGCTATTTTGTAACCCGTGCCTCTTTTTTTTCGGTTTTACCAGCGCGATAAGTGGCCATATGGGGACACTGGATGCGATGGGGTGGGAGAGCAACGGGTCGAGCGAAAAAGCTCGGCTTACAATCGCCTCGACGAGATCTAAAAGAGCCGCAGGGGAGCCAGAACTGGTACAAGAAGGTCCATTATCAGGTTGCAAAACATACATCTGGTCGGTGGAGGGCACGTGCCCGGGGTCTTCGGTGCAAGGGCACGCCCCTTTCGACCCCCTCGCGTCCTCCTCGGCGCGGTGGCACCGTGATCCTCGCATCCCCGTGTCCCCTCGTCAACCCTTCGAGAGCCGAGAGAACCGTCGCCCGACGACGCGCCCGGTTTCTCTCGTCTTGGTCGTTCGAAAAATCGCGGTTGCTGCTCCGCGGCGCGGCCGATCCGTGCCTCGCGAAATTATCGCGTACGGCTAACTAACCGTAATCCGGTTACCGGTACTCTAATTATGCGGCCAAAGGGTTAGTTTTCTACGGTGCTTCACCGATCGATCGGCTAACGATATTACCGCGTTGAAACTCGAGCGCGATGGGCCGCAGGTACGAGCCCGCTCGCCGATATCGTCACGATTATCGATCACGTACTGCCGGTGATCGAAAGAGACAACGACCCTCTTTGATGCGTCGCGTCGCGTCGCGTCGTTGTACGCGACGGCACGCTGTCCAGGCATTCGCACGATATCACCGTCGACGGATTTGTCGGATGCAATTTAGGGGATCGCGGGACCATCCTTCTCCTCTCGTCACACCTTTCTCTTATTCTTCCTTCGCGTTCTCCACCTCCGCTCTCCGTCTCCTCCTCCACCATCTTCGCCGTCTCATTCGGCTCTCTCTCTCTCTCTCTCTCTCTCTCTCTCTCTCTCTCTCTGCTCGTCTCCGTTTCCACCGAAACTCGTCTCCTGTAAATCTCTATCGAGGATACCGGTTGTGTCGGACAATGGCTCGTTTTTTGGCCGCGAAACGAGTCCGCCTCGCGGTCCTTTTATTTCTCCGCGCGTATCGTACGCAGCGTACAGTCGGAATCATTCGGATGGTCGCGACGCGAGAGAAAAAAGGGACATGCAACGATTCCGAGAGCAACGCGCGATCGCAAGAAATCGTACGCTTTCCCCGTTCCGAGTTCCAATTAGCGGTGTGTGTGGCGCGATCGCGTAATTCTACGAACGATGATTGAATTCGATCCGCGCAGCGCCGTGCCGCGCCGCGCCGCGCTAGCCGGCGAAGATCGGCGGCGGAAAAGAGGGCCGACCGCTGGCGGAATAGAAAGGAAAATTCTGCGCGCGCGCGCGCTCGTGTGTGTGCGTGTGTGCTCACCTCTGTCGACGATCTTGCCGAACAGATTTTTCCCACGGAGGAAATTCTTGGTGGAGCAGTTCCATCGGCGGTTGCGAAATTGGTGCTGGCACTCCGCGATCGCCTGGTTCGCGCCCCTGGCCACCGCCATCAGCACCCCTGGATTCTCCCTGGCCAGTCGCCTCTGCTTTCTCCTCAAGGTCGCGTACACCGTGGGATCCATGTGCAGGGACGCCGGCGACATCGGCAAGAAATTGTTCGGCTCTCCCGCCTTGGCGATTCCCCTGAACAGAAACAAACGAACGAGGTTAGCCATTTTTTCCGCGGAGATTCGAAGCGTCTCGCGCGCAGATTTTGGTCGCGTATCGGCCGGTTCCGAACCGGCGGACGATGGACGACGGACGATGGGGAGAGGAAGGAGGGTGGCTGGCTGGTCCAGGAAGGGATCCCTTTCGGAGCGATCGCGCGATCGGTATGTCTCGAGCGTTCGTTCGTCGCTAATTTCGTTGGCGCGTAAAAACGACACTCCTCGGACACTCGAGGAGACGAGCGGACGGAGCAGATACGACGCCGAGGAGAAAGAGAGCCCCGGGGAAAGAAAAGGGAATCGACGGCGACGCTCGGGAAGGGAGGAGGACCGGCAGGAGGAGCGCGGTGAAGGATTAGTTCGAAAGACGAAACTGGTTCAACAGTTTCGGTCAACGGTAGCCTGGGTGTATATATAAATCAAGCTGCCGCGCGAGTCGAGTCCGGCCTGCGAAAGAATTCGCGTCTCGATCGATCGAGCGTCGCGCAGAAAAACGCTTAAGAGAGTTCTGCTCGCGTCGTCCCCTCGTGGGAAGAACGTGCAAACTTTCGAGAAAAGGTGTATCGCCTCGTTCCACCGGCCACCTGAAATCCCCGCGACCCTTGACCCGCGGCGACACCGCTATTTACCATTGCCGTTGTTTACGAGCGTCTTTAAACGGCGGATCGCGCGCGACTCACGCTCGCCCGCTCTCGCGAGCCGAGCCTTCGGGAAAACAGAAAACGTTTAATTATTTTTCCTGGCTTCCGTTCCCGAGGTACCGCGCCGCTCAAAAGTTTCCTCGGCGCTCTATTATAGATACGGAACCGACCTGTGCGCCCGCCGTCCGCGGTGACCGAACTTTCGAGAGAAAAAAGCGGTTTATAGGCCATAAAGTGTCTACGATTTTTGGAGGGTAGTGTAGCAGACACGCGCGGGATCGGATCACTCGTCGCCGTCCATAATAAACAGCTAATCGGCGTCGCCGCCGCTCCGTCGGCGCTCCGTTGTCAACGACTTTCTTGACGGCTAGCAGACTGGCAAGCAGGCGGACAGACAGACAGACGGATAGACAGACAGACAAACGAACGGACAGACGAGAACCCGAACGGGATACGCCGCCGCGAAAAGTCTGCTTCTCGTTGACACTATCGGTGCCTCTCGTCTAAATAAACCGAATCGCTATAGCACGCGCGCGACCCTCCTTAAACCCTTGAACGAAGTGTCAAGCCGAATACGAACGAAGCGAAACGACTTACGATCTTCTCCGAAATTCGCGAACGTGCTGTCGCGATCGCTCGGCAGACTGCACGCGTCGATCCGTGCAGCGTCGACGCCGTTCTTCCCCGTCGTCGATTCGTTTTCGTTCTCGACGATGCGCTCGATAAGCGATGCCCATAAACAAGAAACCGCCGAGAGAGCCGGACCGGTTGGAACGTACCTATTGCTTGTATAATTCGCGTCGAGCAGAAAAGCTCGCGGACCCCGTCTCGATTCCGTTCCCGTCCCGTCGACCACCCCCCGTCCTCCACTTTCGTGGCCCGTCCACGTGTTTCCTGCCAGCCGAAATAATTTATCGAGTCGAGAGGGCTGATAACGACCCGCGGCCACGCGACAAAAATCCGCACGAAATTCCGCGCGATCGTTCGCTCCGAATCGACTCGGAATCGATCGAAGCCCGCGGGTGCAGACTTCGATCGCCGAGTCCGCTCCGCGACGCCTTCAACCTGCTCCGACGTGTCACGAGTCCGAGCGGAATCGTTCGATGTCTTTTTCAATCGGTCGACCGACTTGCTCTGCTCGTCCCGGCGCGACCCGTACCCGTACCTACGTCTATCCCACGTTTCCGTTCGCGAACGAGCGCGATAAATCCTGGTCGATCGCGGCTACCGGTTTTTACCGTGGCCGCGTCGCTATTCGAAATTCGCCGATAGGAAAATGCCAGGTCGGAACGCTGGGGCCGGCGGCACCGGTAGGCGTCACGATTGTCAAAATATTGTACGGACGTCTTTTTATATCGGAGGGGAACGAAAGTCGTCGACACGCTCGAGGAGCGACGCGGTTTCGAGCAACGAGCGGATCGGACAGCGGATCGACGAATCGGCTCCTCGCCGGAGTTCCGTTTTCCATCGCCGCGATCGACGTTTGTATCGGGTCGCGCGACACGGGGCCACCCAGAATCGGCGCCGCTTTTCTTCGACAGGAATCGATTAGCGATTCCTCCCGTTGCCGCGGAACGGTATCGCGTCGATCCGCGTCTATTTTGGGAGCCGCGACCGGCGTCGTGTCCGGCCGGCGTAAATCCACCGAAAAGTCGATCCGATCCGCCTTTCGCCGATGGTTTCGCCGCGATAAATTACTCCCGACTGCGAAATCCAGGTGGCTGGTTGTCCCGGCGTGCGCGCGTCCACGCGAATTTACCGACGTATTAGATTAATTAATTCGTAGGCAATAATTACCTGCGCGCGTGGCCGCGTCTTAAATCAACTCTCGCGCGGCGGCCGGGGAAAAGCGGCCGGGCAGCGCGCGCGGCCTGGCTGATTTATCGCCGGCAGTTTATCGTTATGTGGATATTTCCGTGACTATCTCTTTCGGTTGTAAACGCGCCCGTTGGGTCCAGCCCGTCTAGCCGGCGCGAGACAGCCCGCGCAAGCATATACATGCTCGGCCTGTACGTGCTCTCCGATCGCGTACACCGCCGCGCATTATTTATTACCCGGCTAATGAAGTTAGCCATTATCTAACGTCCATCGAACGTTTTCTTGTTCCTACGAGAAATCGTTCGGCCGATCGGGACTTATGCACGTGCCGCGCGACTTATGATTAATGGAGTAATAAGAAGGCGCGCGGGGCGGTCGCCCGGTCCCTGTTAGCTGCCACCGGTACCCCCGGCGAAAGATTCGGGGGGACAGGTGTTAACGCGCGGCGCGATTAAACTCCGAAAGGTTGATTCGATCCCGAGGGAACGGGTCGCGCGAATCCGAACGACGCGGGCGTCCCCGCGGGTAATTCAACGGTGGGACACAAACGGACGGATCGACGTCGACTTACCACCACATGGAGCCCCGTCCGCGGTTCTTGTTCCTGGTGATCTCGGCGATGCAGGCGTGGATCGTCACCGCGAGGGCGCCGATGATCACCCAGAGCCTCATCTTCCGGCTGGCTGGTGACCTGTCCGTGGTCGCGATCGGTCTCGTTCGAACTCGGCGAAACACCATGCACCAAGTCGTCTCACTCACCGAATTAGGAACATCACAGGTTACTCTTCCCGGCGGCCGGAGAACGCGCACATAACAAGGCGGTCGTCGGTTGGTCGCGTCCGGCCGGCTCGGCGATAGGCTTGTCCGGGACTACCGTTCGAGGACGAGTTTCGTGTTTGCGTTCGTCGAGGCACAGAGAGCGGATCACCGGTGGACGGGCGAGAGCGGGTCGCGTCGCGCGGGTGCTTTTAAATCATCGGCGAGGACAGTCGCGCGTGGCCATTGCCCGGGGAATCCCGGCGAGTAAGAAACGAGCGTGCGGTGCGGTGGCCCCCTCGTCCACGATCCACGAGTAGTAGTAGTAGTAGTAGTCGAGTAGAGTCGAGAGCAGTCAGCTGTCAAAGCAGGAGAGTTCGGCCGCAAGAACCGTAATGCCGACAGTCCGACAGTTGAGTGACTGTAGTTGGTTGCGGGCGACGTCGAGAGCCTCACGGAAACTCACCCCCCGAAGGGCTTTTTTCGAGGGGTGGGTGTCACCCTTGCCGAGTTCTCGCCGAATCAGAGGTGGTGGGAGAGGCACGGTACAGCCGCCGCCGCCGCCGCCAGGATACCTGGCAACCCTCCTCGAAGCTTTCTGTCGGTTCTGCCGGCCCGGATAATAATGGAGTTGTATCGAGCCCTGAAATCGGCGGTCGCTGCCGTCTCTCCCGTGTTCCGAGTCCCGAGTCCCGAGATCCCGAGCAAACGGTTCGGCCCGTTCCGTTGTTTCGCCCGCTTCCCGAGCAGCGACACGACCCGATCGGCAACGGCAACGGCAACGGCGACGGCGATAGGAGCAGCAGCAGCCGTTGCGCCTATCGCTCCTCGTACACCCGAGGTCGAGATAGCCGACGAGAGAAGAGCTGCGTGCTGCGCACGGGCGCGCGCGCGCGATCGATCGACCGATCGAACGATCGAACGAACGGACGAACAACCGGCGGAACGAGCGAACGAACGTCGACCCGCGAGAAGAACGCGCGCCAAGGGGAGTCAAAGAGTCTTGGTCGTTTCCTTTTCTTTCGTCCGCGACTCGGGGGGTACGGCACCGCGATTCGAGAACCAATACCCTTCGACGGACAAGTATAGGCCTCGGTTAGCGACTGCACGCGCTCGTCCGCGGAAGAGCCGATCTCTCTTCAGAGAGAGAGACCGAAACCTTCTCCCCTCTCCACCCCACGAAGTCCTCCGCTCCTTGCGTCTCGCTTACACCGTCACCGTCGCCGCCACCGCCTCCACCTGCCTCCCTCCTCGGCCACCCTCCTCCTCGCCTCCCTCCTGGCCTACCTCCTCGCCTCTCTGCTCGCTTCCCTCCGACCGGTCCCGCCGCCGTTCTCTGTTCCTCTTCCCTGATCCTGTCCGAGGTTGTTGTGTCTCCACACCTCCTCTCGCCGTTCCCTTTTCCTCGCCTTTTCCCTTTTCTCGCCGAGTTGTTCCCTCTTCCCTCGGCCGTCCGTTCCTCTTTTCCTTCGCCTCCGTTCCAAGGTGCGCTTCCTCTCTGCGGCTTCCAGGGAGATCTCGCACCGACTCCCCCAAGATCGATCGGATCTCGCTCCGCCTCTCGTCGTCCAGCCTCTACCCTTCTTCCGTCGCCCGTTCTCTCCGGTCGGCTCTCTTCTTTCCTACGCGGCCCGAGAAGTCTCTCTCCACCTCCTCCTCCTCCTCCTCCTCTTTCCTGCCTCCGTCGCCCGCCGTCGCAGCCGCCGCCACCGCCGCCTCCGTGCCCGTTCGCGTCACGATTCCGTTCTCCTTGCTCTTGTGCGAGAGATGCGCGCGAGACGCGATTTCTTTCCGCGTCGTTCTACGCGAGCCAGCGAGCCGGCCGAAATAGCCCCGGGGAGGATGTCCCTGGCATCGCGTATCGAGCATACAGATCGGTGAACAAGGGCCCGCCGCGTCTCGGAAGGGCACGCCACGCGCTGGACCCGGGGGGAAACAGTATCTGGCAGGTTCTGACAGACGTCTCCTCCGCGGTTCTCTCTGGTTCTCGCAGACGAGCACGTGGCTTTCAAGGGGAAATAGCGGGCGGTCCTTATCAAGGCCACGCCTGTCGGCCTCCCCACCATGCTCCCCGTGGTCATCGCGCAAGGAACTTTCGTCGTAGCTCTCCCACTCTCTGAAAAACATCCCGGATGTTTCCCTCTCGCTCTTTCCTTTTCTCGCTTCTCTTCCCGCCCCTCGCGGCCTCTCTCGTCTCCCTAGGTCTTTCTCTTTCCTTTTGTCTCTCTCTCTCTTCTCTCTCGCGCATACAGACGCAAACGCGCGCGCGCGCACACCTCTCTCTCCCCTAACCGTGAATTCTCGCTCGGCTGCCCTCTGTCGCTGTTCGCAGCCTCTGGCCCACTCTGTCCATCCTTCTCCTCTCTCCTCTTTTTTCCATTCATCCGCCGAGACACTCCTTCCTCGTTCCTCTTTGCTGGTTTCGGTATGCTCCGCGTAGTCCGTCTCGTTCGATCCGTTTCCCCTGCGAGACGCGTCGCGCCGCGTCGCGTCGCCAGCAGCCACCCTTTCTCCGACGTCGACGTCGAGGGTCGTCGAGGGACGTCGCCGCGTCCCGGAGAATGCATGAATCGAAAGGCGGATGGCGCACATGCGTGCGTGCACTCTGTGTGTCACTGTGTGGGAACCGTGGAGGCTCGGAATGCAGCGGAGAAGCAGCGTAGCCATGGAACCGCACCGCAGCTTCCGATCCGCCGCGGCTCGGAAGCACTCGGCTTCTCCTCCCTCCGGCTTTTTCCCCGGCTGACATCTTGTCGTCCGCGGCGATCCCCTTTTCTCTCGCGGCCCGGCAGAACGTACGAACGTGGAAATCGCGGTTCCATCCCCTTTGATCCGGCCACTCGAGCACGGAATCCGCCGTTCGCGGTGTCGCGCGGCGACGCAAAATGGCGAACACGGTCGGTGCGCCGTGGCGTTGGTACGCGGAATCGCCGGCGAAAGAAAAATGTCGATCCGGCCGCGGAAAGGTCGGGCAAAGGTTTAGGTGGCAGACGACGACGACGACGACGAACGACGGCCGAGAAAGCGCAATTTACGAGCGGCGCGCAAAAAGCCCGGCGAATGAGACGGATATTCGGGAACGAGGTCAGGGCAGCTGCGAGTTCCCGGCGAAGACTTACGGAGATTGATCGGCGTAAATCGCCGCGTCTCGTGCGATTACGTTTTTGTCGGCGCGTGCCCGTTCGCTCTCTCGGAGCCGTTCGGATCGCGGACCACGCTGGAAACTCGAGCAGGGAAAGGAGCCGGGGCCCCGGGTTTGTCTGCTCGCCGGCAAAATCCCAGGCAATTATGTGTTCGGAATGCTCGTGCCGTGCTTTGCGGGGCCTTCTTTCGCCGGTGTGGTTCTTTCGTCGGCCGGCGAGCCCTTTCGAGACACGCTGAAAATTGATCGGCGAAGGGACGCGCGGGGATCGATCGAAAAACCGCCTCGTTCCGCGAATCCTCGTTTTCCGTCGCGGTTTTCCATCGGCGCGGTCCCGAGGCAGCTTCGATCGCTGCGCGCGCGCGCGCGCTCGCGCATGTAATCGCACGCACCGGCTGCGAAGCTGCGCTTCGTTACGGCCCCTAATACATAGTCCGATATAATGATCGAGCGTGGTCCGGGCCGGGTCCAATTCGCTGATAGGTTCCTTCACGGTTTTCTATCGGCGCGTCGAAAAAAATGGCGGCCGCGTACGAGTCACGGCCGAATAAGTCGTTAGCCGGCACGATCGCCGTAAGCGAGGCGGTGGTTTCGCGTGACGGACAAGTTCGTCGATTGCTCGCGCTCGAGTCGACGCTTTACGGTAATGACTTAATGCCGGTGCTCTCGCGGCCGAGGCGTTGCTCGGCCACGTATTCCTCCGGTCCGGGCAAAAACAAACGGTCGTCTTTTCGTTCTTTCGTTGCTCCGTGCTCGCTCCGATACGACGAAAATAAGCGGCGGCCGATCGGTGCACGGGGAACCGCGCCGCATTAAAAATAAGCGCAGCCGTTCCGTTATCACCGGCCGTGGATCTGGCGCGTGGCTCCGCGAGCAGACACCCTTTCGAACGAGTGCGGACGGCACGCTGAATCGAAACGGTTATCGGTCGCGCCGGTTTTATCTATCACCGATTTAGAAGCAACGAGAAACACCGCGCGGAAAAACCGTGGCCAGAAGAGCCACCCGGTTTTCCCGAGTGGCTTTCGTTCGCGAGTAACGGGAGCTTTCGGTCGAACAAAAAGATCGGAGGAGACGCGATCGAACACGGTGGCCCCCGGTGCGGTGTCGGGGCGAGAAGGTGGGCCGGCGGACAGAAGAAGATGGTGGAACAGAGCCGTGGCAAGATGAGGCGAGGCGGTTGGAGGGAGGCGAGGCCAGGCGAGAGCGAGATAGCTCGTAAATCTAAAGGCCGTGTTCGGAAGGAAGGAGGCTGAATAGGTGTAAATGAAGTTGCGGCCTGTGGCCCGCCGCAAACTCGACCGGACCACCCCGCATATTTTGTCTCCCGTGCGTGCTCGGTCCCGAGGATTCGGGCCCCGCACAGCCGATCGCCGATGCCCCGGCCCCTTTGCCCCCCGGGCGCGCGCGGTGGCCGTACCTTTGACTCCGCGATAACAATGTCGTCGCTCGGACCGTCCGTCCCACCTTTCTCTTCTCCTTTTCCCTCGGCCCCTTTCCCTTTTTCCCTTTTTCATTTCTCCGCCGGAGCTCTCGGGCCGGAGCTCTCTTCGACGTATGCGGCCCGCCCGCGAACTCTCCGCAAAGTCCGCGGAGGCAAGACAATTTCCGAAACCTTAAGCGGATAATCCGATTTCACGGTCGACTGTGGGCTGCGTACTCCCGTGAAATCGATTTTTATTGGGCCTACGGAGCAGGTCGGAGCAGGATCCGTGAGCCCGCGACACAAGCTCTTTGCGAAGGAAGATTCCGGCCTCGCTCTCGACCACGACACGGTTCTTCCTACCCCCCAGATGGCTAAGATTCCTCTCCCACGGAGAGGCCGCGAGAGACCAGCCACGACCGCCTATCCAGGCGAGAAGCACCCCTAGGATGGATTAGCTTAATGTAGGTTAATGCTCATCCTCATTAACTAACCGTATAAACCGACAACAAAGAGACGCGCGGGCTACGGGACCGTCGAAAGGGCTCGTTTGTTTCGGATCATCCCCGGCTCTGTTCCTAAAGCTTCTCATCCTATTTTCGAGAATTACTCGCGCGAACGGTCTCTGCGGAAAACACGCACACACACAACGGCGACGCCATTCTTCGCCGGCATTTGCCCGGAAGCGTTCTCCGTGGACAATCGAGAGTGCCAGCGAAAGGCCGGGACAAAACGGACCCGGGGGAGCTTCGACGAGCTCGGCTTCGCCAAGCCCGGTCTACGAATTCCAGGAGGATCGTATGCAAAAACGTTCGTTCGCGCACGTCGACGAACACGAACGAAACGGCGCGGCGGACCTGGCGGACGCGTGTAACGCCGTCGTACGCCCGTTGGTCGGCGGAAGGATTTCGGTGTGCGTGACCGTGGTATGGTCGACGACCACCCGGGACACCGGTACCGGAGGATTTCTGGGCGGAGTGCGAACGCGTCGGAGGACATCAAAGGACCCGCGAGAGGTAATTATTGTTTCTCGATGGTAGGCCAAGCGGAACCGTGAACACGGTGGCGCCTGGTGCACGATAGGCGCTGCCATTCTCACCCTTGTCCACTCCCTCTGCCTCTGCCTCTCCCCGTGGTCCGCACCACTGCCAGCAGCCGCCCTCTTCCTCTCCGCCCCCCGCGCCGCAGTCGCCGCGCCGAGCCACCGGCCCGGCTGACAGCCAGCTTTCTTCGAGAGATATCGGCCAAGGACCGAGGGAAGAAGAGAACGAACACACGCTTCCCCGAGGCACACCTCCGACTACCCTTAATTAAGAGAACGCCGTTCGACTCACGAGCGATTCTTCACGGTCTCGCATTCCAGCGTGATCCTGCGCGTCGCAAGGTCGTCTCTTCCACCAAACTCGGAGCCAAGTCCTCCGGTTCGCATCGCGCGAATCCTCCTCCTCTCTCTCTCTCTCTCTCTCTCTCGCTCGCTCTTTCTCGCCAGAATTTCGAGCCGGACGCGAACGGTTTTTGCGGGCCGCTGATTGCCGCGCCGGTGTCGAACGCGCGCAAATACCGGCACGTAAACGCCGCGAAACCGCGCGCAGATTGCCGTGATATTCCGTAACGAACGAGTCCCGCGATTTTTCCGCGAGGATCCCGGTGATCCCGCAAAAAACCGTTGCGAGCGCCCCTGGAAACCGGAAACCGGAGAACGTCGCGAACCGCCACGGTTCTGGGAAAACGTCCGAGCGTTCGCGGATGAAGAGATTCGCCACGGAGCTACTCCGGCCAGCCGAGATGAAAGAAGACGTTCGCGTTCGACGCCCGTTTCTTGCCGGCCGCGCTGTCCGCTCTTTCTCTTTCGCCCGGTTGCAACGTTGCGCTCAACTTAATAAATACGTTACGCCGAACGTGTGACTCTCCAAGGTCCACCAGGCCACACGGTTCTCTCTTCCACGGGAAAGAAAACGCGTGCCATGTGCTGGCCTCTGCTCGTACCTGCGGGCAAACCCCGCCCGGTGATCCGACCTAAGGAGAGACCGGGAGAAGAAGAGAGTACCTGGAGCACGCCACCCATGGGGCTTACACGCCGAATTATCCCTTCTGTTATGGGCAAACATTTATGTATTTATTGCCGGACAAACGGCTGGCATAATAACCTCACGGACGTGATCGATACGAGTTACTACCGCTTCGGGTTCCCGACGCCCCGGGGCTCCAGGCTCCGGGCCCCGGGCTCCGGGCCCTCGGGGATCCACAGGGCCCCGAGGGAAAAAAAGAGATGATCCTGAGAACAGAGCGAACCGGAGAAACAAGAAGCGTCCGTGAATCTGTTGTAATCACGGGCAACGCTTCGCACCCGGGTCGCCGCCGCGGTCTTATTGATCGACGAGGATCGAGAGGGCGCGGCCGAGGAAAGGGCACGGTAGCCATATCGGCGGGCATAATTCGTTTCCAATTCCGCCGATTGGTCGCGACGGTGTCCTCTCTGCGAGGGAGCTCACGGCCGCGAATAATGTTCGAGGCGAGGCGAGGCCCGGGTAGGAGCAACCGTGGTGTGTAGGACCATCGGCGAACATAATGTTTTCATTAGGTCGCGATCATTATCTGGCCCGGGCGAACAAACGAGCGAATGCCAGGGGACGCA